AGCAGGACATGAGATTTAGGACCATGCATGGAGCAGGAAATGAGATAAGGGACCATGCATGGAGCGGGATATAAGATTTAGGACCATGTATGGAGCAGGAAATGAGATTTGGGACCACAAGGCCTAAACACTGAAGGCTAAACTGATTGCTGACATGGAGTGACCTTTGGTGTGTGTGTTAAAATGAACCACATGTCATTCTAACACAATTAATTCTTCTTACATGATTTTTACTGCTGCATTAAGGTCACCAATTAAATGTTACTTTTCCAGATCCAAATGCCAAGTCTAAAAGGTTAATTCAACCCCTGATTAAAGTGTGTGTGTGTGTGTGTGTGTGTGTGAGTGAGAGAGAGAGAGAGGGAGAGAGAGGAGCAGCAGCACAGCAGGGAAGGGATTGGGTTTCTCCCTGTAAGAGATCTCTCTGACCACCATAGATTCTGTTTCTCCTCCCCTGTGACACTATACACGCAACATTTCACCAAGAGGAACAACACTCTTCTGTGGGATCATGATTTATTTTTACTTTTCAATCTATATAGTAAACTCATGGTGATTGTCAGGTGCGCACCGCGGTCGCTGCCCGGCGTCGTGTTACCTTCCCCGGGGCACCATGGGCTCGTAAAATGCCTTCTCTGTGGAAACGGATAACGTTCTCGGTGGCCTCGGTGCTCTGTGTCGGCTCGGTGGTCCTCCTGGTCGTGGCCCTGGCCACGGAGCGCTGGGTCATCGGGCGGATCCTGTGTAAAACAGGGGCGGAGATAGTGAACGCATCCCACCCGGAGCTGGAGCAGTTCGTTGGGGACATTTACTTCGGTTTGTTCCAGGGAGGGAAGAGCAAGAGGTGCGGGCTCGGGAGGAGGCGCTCCAAAATATTCAGTAAGGTCAAAAGATGCATGTTAACCATCTAACATCTGTCTAATCCAGAATATTCAGTAAAGTCAGAGACTGCATGTGAACCATCAAACATCTGTCTAATCCAGAATATTCAGTAAAGTCAGAGACTGCATGTAAACCACCCAACACCTCTGTTTAATCCAGAATATTCAATAAAGTCAAAGAMTGCATGTAAACCACCCAACATCTCTGTTTAATCCAGAATATTCAATAAAGTTTAAGAATGCATGTAAACCACCCAACATCTCTGTTTAATCCAGAGTATTCAGTACAGAATGACGAACGTCTGGTGGCTGCAGAATGTGTTGTTTTCTTTCCTCATCCTGTCTGAGCTGATTATGTGTCTGTTCCTCTGTCTCAGTTTTCCCAAAGCTCGTGCGAACATTGAACAGCGGCCTTCACATGATGGTGATCCTCTTCCTGCTGGTGGCCATCGGCTTTGCTCTGGTCAGTCTTTCTTTCTGTATTTACAACGCACGCAAGATTCCCTACCAGAGCATCAAGGGGCACAAAGGACTCTACCTGTGGAACTTAATAGCTGGTATGGGAGTGGATTCTGTCTTTCCTCAAGACCTCCATCAAATATTGGTTTGCTTTTCATTTTGCATTTAATTTTTTCCTCTTGGAAAAATCTCTCTCTTTGCATTTCCTCCCCATGTTCTGTATTTTCCAGCTCTTTTCGGTGCCCTAGGTGTTTTGTGTTTCCTGGCGGCCCTGAGACACCACAGTCTGACAGAGCGGGTGGCAAACTACCAGGAGAACCTCTTCGTCCTGGTTGTCCTGGACGACGGCCTGGACTGGTCCTTCTGGCTGGGTGTGGGGAGCATCGCGACTCACTTCGCTGTCTGCGGAGTCGTCGCCATGAGTCGGATCAAGCTGCCCAAACCAGAAGTCAAGAAACCGGAGGAGCCCACCATCTCTGCTCTGGACCTGCTCTACTAAAGAACCAAACAAGGAGCATCATGTCAGCACTTACATCACGTATGATGTTTTCCATGTGGAAACAAACACTGTGCCAGAGCACCTGTGTACGGATTTTACACTATTTATGACCAATTGCAACAATTATACAGTTATGGCTTTGCAGTCTCAAACAATACAGAACTCGTTCTTTTTTGCAAGAGTTATAAATGAACTGAATGATCCTCGTCTGCATTACTGGATTCAAAGTGTCTGAGCATCCTGTGCTGTATATTCTGTTTATAGCTGCATGTGTAAATACACGATTAGTTTTTCTTCATATGTTCAAAATGTCAGTAACAGATTTGTCACATTTCTTAGAATAAAGTCAGAAGTCAGTGTTTGAGTAATATCTTTACAGGAACTTGGTTGCAAGGCTTGAACATACATTTCATAGTGAGAGAAGGGTGTATATATTTAATCATGTTTAGATGAAACTGTCCAAGTAAAGATCTTTGAGTTTTCATTTAATTTAACTTGGTCGTAAGAGTTGCTCACATCTGAAGACAGATTTTGTGCACATTCTAAAAATCTGTGCAAATAATCAGTTGTGTTGTTGTTTCTATGGAAAAAATGCACTCTCCTGTGATGAGTCCAATTAATGTCTTCATGTATTTTCTTCAAGATTTTTCTCATATTCAGGGAAACAAGCTGGAAATGAACAAATCTCTGTCAAACAATAATGAACTGTGAAACAAACAAATAAACAATTATTTACACAGCACATTTTTTCTTATTAGTGTGTGATTAGACGTATGACCCTCTGGGGCCATGAGCATTGGCTTTGCTGATTGATATTTTATATACACCATATCTGTACAGTACATAATATTGTCTGTTCTTTAAAAAATAAGCAGATATCAGCTGAAGTTGAATTTTGAGATTTCAACTCGGACGTCAGTTTGAATTTCTTTAAGATTTGTAGTTTCAAAAGCTGCAGTAAATTGACATGTCTTCATATAAGTTACTTTTTTTAGTTATTTTTCAGATGGAAAGTTACTGGATATTATCAATGATCTTTTAAAGACCTCTCAAACAACAATAACTTTTCTCTGTAGGAACTCACCGTCACTTAATCTTTTAAATTGGTTTTTTCCTTGTGATATTTCTCTATTAAGCAGAAAACTAATGATTAAACTGTTTAGAGAAGAAACCAGCGTCCAGTCAATTATTTACTGCTTTAACCCACAGCGGCCTCTAGGTGGCGACAAGGACGCGTGTTCGTCGCTTGTTGGTGACGTCGGAAAAACGCGACCGTGTCCAGTCGTTCGGCTTCGTCCTGCACATGTGTGCGACCTTTACTTCTCTGAATGAGACGATAAGCTGTTCCAGTTCTGTCAGTTTGTGTTTGTGCAGCAGGTGACGATGCTTCTTGTGAGGAGAGCTGTGCAGAGGACGAGCCACCGCAGATCGTTTTCTGCTTCACACACTCACCTGAGCCACAGGAAGGTGAGAAGCCTGCACAACATCACCTGCACAACATCACCTGCACAACATCACCTGGCTAATATCACCTGCACAACATCACCTGGCTAATATCACCTGGCTAACATCTAACAGCACCTGGCTAACATCACCTGGCTAACATCTGGCAGAAAGAGAGACAGCTACATTAGTGACTGTCAGAAGTTTCAGTCTGTGCATCTCTGTCTGTGGGAGCTGTGTTTGTTGATTTTGTTCATGTGAGCAACAGTGTTTGTCTTTGAGTGTTTTTCTCATTATGTGTGTGTGTGTGTGTGTGTGTGTGTGTGTGTGTGTGTGTGTGTGTGTGTGTGTGTGTGTGCAGGGTCTGGTGTTGGGGGTGTTTGAGAAGGAGGGAGAGGAGGGTGGTCTTCATCTGACAGAGGCAGCGACAGGCTTTGACCAAACAGTGTCAGGAAAACTCTCTGAGCTGCTGACCATGTGAGTCTCCATCATCTGCACACCAGGGCTCAGCTATACAACAACAGCAAAAGTTATCACATTATAATCTCCATCAATAGTTGTACAACAATAGTCTATATTACTTATGCATTGTGCAAACACAGTGAGGAGGTTCATAATGTAATTGATCTACCTGAGATTTATCAAAATATTTTGCTGTTTATCAAGTGATTCTCTTTAAACTTAAAAGAAATAAAAATGTGACATTATCAGTATCAATGAAAATCAGACGTAATAAAAGATATCGTTTCTGCCTGTGTCCTCCAGCCCAACTATAAACTGATCAAATACAGTTTTTGGCAAAAGTTTAGAGAAAGTTAAAACATAAAAACTGTAAATTCAAACATGAATAAATAAATACAAATCGGTGTGACAAATTTTTGGACACAGGCTATTTTTCGACACTTAAAACCAGCTACAAAACACAAATAATAAGAAATATCCACTGTAAGTAACTGGTTACTCAGTATAAAGAGCTTTATGAAGACACAACTTAGGTCTTACCAAGACAAAATAATTGTTGTGTCTCTTTTGTCTGTTGTTAATTTAACTTTTGTTTCCTTGTCCAGCTCTGGACCTGTGCTGAAGAAAGGCAGAAGCAGAATATTCTATGGAGTCCACACGGTAAGTGTGATATCAGATTTAAATAAAATAAATAACATGACAGTATCTGAGTATCTATTCTGTGTCCTCTCCAGGACTTCCCCTGTGTAGCAGTAGTAGGACTGGGTAAGAACAGTGCAGGAGTGTGTGGGGCAGAGAACTGGGACACTGGCAAGGAGAACATCAGACAGGCAGTGTCAGGTAAGATGCGTCACCTCCGCTCCTCTCAGTGAAGGATCGGCTGCAGTTGGCTGATGTCTGTTTTCTGCACGTGCTCAGCTGGCTGCCGGTCGCTTCAGGATCTGGAGGTGAACCACGTGGAGGTTGACGGCTGCGGTGACGCTCAGTCGGCAGCTGAAGGTGCTGTTCTGGGTCTGTTTCACTACGACCAACTCAAATCCAAGAAGAAGACGAAAGTGACAACGCAGCTCCATGGAAGGTAGACCCACAGCTGTAAGCTAAAACTGGGACTTTCTGAAATTCACATCGACGCAGTTTCACATCACTGTGTATTTGTGTGTGTTATTACTCTCAGTGCGGACTCGGTCGAGTGGGAGAAAGGAGTTGTTTATGCCGAAGGCCAAAACCTGGCACGGCTGCTAATGGAAGCTCCGGCCAATCACATAACGCCGACTGTATTTGCCAGCACCATTGAAGAGAAACTAGCAGGACATGCTGGACGAGTCACAATAAAGAAGAGGTTAGTGAAACCTTCATCATCATTACTCATCATCTCTGGCAATATGTTAGACAGTATTCAGGTATAGACATTATTCTTTTGTCACGTTGTTAAAGGACATTTGAGATATGGAAACTTTTAAAAGTTTTTGTCGTCAGATGTTGGGCTACTTCCATTACACCTTTTGATGGGAACATAAATATATCCCTCTCAATGTCCAGAGAGTGGCTGTGGTGAAAGAGGAGTTATCTAATAATCTAATATTCTATGTCTTTATGCAGATCACAGGCCTGGATTGAGGAGCAACAGATGGGAGCCTTCCTCAGCGTGTCCAAAGGCTCAGAGGAGCCCCCTGTCTTCCTGGAGCTTCATTACAATGGTGCACCAGAGAGCGTAGAGGCCCCGCTGCTCTTAGTGGGCAAAGGCATCACCTTTGACACGTAAACCATAATATTAGACTCTCTATGTAATGTACCACACTTACTGCTTCATTTATACTATACAGTGTTGTCATTGTGCTCACCTGTCCTGTGTGTGTGTGTCTGTGTGTGTGTCTGTGTCTGTGTCTGTGTCTGTGTGTGTGTGTGTGTGTGTGTGTGTGTGTGTGTGTGTGTGTGTGTGTGTGTGTGTGTGTCTGTCTGTGTGTGTAGTGGAGGTATTTCTCTGAAGCCATCTGCTTCTATGGATGCAATGAGAGCTGACATGGGCGGTGCCGCCACAGTGTGTTCATCCATTGTCACAGCAGCAGCTCTGAAGCTGCCGGTCAACATTGTTGGTGAGTTTTTTTTTACCTGCTTCTATCAGTATTGGTATCAGCCCCCCAAAAACTCTATATCATCCAGGTTCTAGTCATTTACATACACCTGAGACCCAAAAGGAAATTCTGTCATTGTTAAAGTAAAACTGAATCGCTCGCCCTGCCTCTCTGTTTCATTTTATTAAATCAGGTCTGGCTCCTCTGTGTGAGAACATGCCCAGTGGGAAGGCCACTAAACCAGGTGATGTTGTCACAGCCAAGAATGGAAAAACAATCCAGGTGAGGCCCTGATGAGAAGCTGTGTGTGTGTGTGTGTGTATATGTGTCTGTGTCTGTCTGTGTCTCACAGATGAGTTGACTGTTCTCTCCACATTCAGGTAGATAATACAGATGCAGAGGGCAGACTGATTCTAGCAGACGCCCTCACTTATGGACACACCTTCAACCCCAGAGCTATCGTCAATGTTGCTACACTAACAGGTGGGGATTTCATGTATTAAATACTGTCTGGGTGTTTATTTGAGCTGGTTCTTGTCTGACTGGTGCTGTTTGTTTTTCTGGTGCAAAAACAAAGCTGAAACCGAATTTTACGGTTAATATGATTTTCAGATTCAAGTTTATTTGGCCAAGTGGGTCACCACACACAAGAAATTTGGTTCCGGCTGATGGTAACACTCTACTAGTACCTCACAATGTACCTCTTCCACAGTGCTGCATGATAAAATCCAACGTATGCAGGTGTAATGAGTACATGTTGAAATGTGTCGTCTTGTGTTTTCAAGGTGCGATGGATGTAGCGCTCGGCTCAGCAGCGACTGGAGTATTCACAAATTCTGACTGGCTCTGGGAGCAGCTGCAGAAGGTGCAGCCAGCGAATGCAAACTAAACACAATAGACACATACACGTCTTTGTCTCTCAGCTCCACTGTTGACTAATGGTGTGTTGCAGGCCAGCGTTGTGACGGGTGACAGAGTGTGGCGGATGCCTCTGTTCCAGCACTACACCAGACAGGTGACTGACAGCCAGCTGGCAGACCTCAACAACGTTGGCAAGTACAGCCGGTACGTATCTCACAGCACACACAGTTAGCGCCCGCTGCTCCTGCTGGAGGCATCAGAGGATCAGAGGAGTCCATTCATGGCTTTATTTAACTGAATCTCATCAATATTTTTCTAGTTCTGGCGGCGCATGCACAGCAGCTGCATTCCTGAGAGAGTTTGTCACAGCTCCACATTGGGCTCATCTGGACATCGCTGGTGTGATGAGTAACAAAGATGAAGTTCCTTATCTGAGGAAAGGCATGTCCGGGAGACCAACACGTACACTGGTGGAGTTTGCTGCCGGGCTGGCACATCACGGCTGAGACACTCTAGCCAAGGGTCAAAGTTCACACAAAATTAAACAGTATAATTTTGCTGCTGGAAGTAATTATAGACATATATAATACCAATATTTTATAAAGGTTTGATGGATCTTTGAATTTCTACATCCATCGGATTCATCAGTACAAGATATTTTTAGACTTTTGTTTAATGCACATTTTCTTCTTCAGGCTCTTGAAACTTCAGCTGAAAAAACGTTGAAGCTCTGTATTGACTAAATATAATTTATATGTTGTATAAATAAACTCTGTATGTCTTTAAGCATATGAGCCTGTGTGTCTTTATGATTGTTGGTTCTTTGGCTCAATGCACAATGGTTTTTCACCACCAGGTAAGTACGTACCTGGACTCAAGCATAACATACAGTATGTGATCAATGGACATATCATTCTAAAACAAATAGGTATTGACATGTTGCTGTAAAAGCCTCCACTCTTGTTGAAATGTGCTTAAATTAACAGACAAAATTTTAGATGAAAGTGTGTAAAACAGAAATACACTAATGCAGCCTGTCAGAAGTCATGGTGGCGCCTCCCTGTGGACAGATGGCCTCACAGCAGCTGGTCCAGAAGCAGCTCTGTCTCCAAACAGCTGATCTCAGTCTCTTCTCTCCTGAGGACATTCATTGAGTCCAACAATCTCTTTACTTCTTCTTCTTCTAGATATTTATATTTGAGAAGATGTTTCACAAGTGGAGGAAAAGCTTGTTTGTGTTGTTTTGTGTTCACTCTGCTCAAAGTCTGAGAAATAGAAGGATTTGAACTGATGAGTTTGAGGTTTATCCCTGAAAGTGTTATTGTCTCTTTGTTGATCTCTGGACTCTTTATTGTATCATTCAGACTTTTTCTTTTCTCATGACTTTATATTGTAATTCTGTTTTTTTACAGACAGAAATCTTTGTTAATTTAACATGAAAAGTTTCTTCGTGGTTGAAGTTGACTCAACGTTAAAGAAAAGTTTCTACATGTTGAAAAAGAGTCTCTGACTCACTAAGGTCAACTTTTTAAATTGTGATAAATATGGTGTGACTAGGCCGACAGCCTTTAAACTCAATGAGGCTTGAACAATCATTGTTTTTCACTGTGATGCATTCAACTTCTCTGGGTTTAGACAATAAAGATTAATTCTATGAAATCAGGAAGTCACGTTTGTCCCCGAAATTAAAAGAGATTAATTAAAGAAAATACCCACATTTTTATTTTGAGATACTAAATCATCAATGGGCTTCCGTAGTCTACTAGACTCCAGTGCGCATGTGCAGCCGGGCAGCAGTAAGAAGCCCCCTCAGATCAAGATGGCGTCCTCCATGAGTGGGATGTTTCCCGGTCAGCAGCCGCCAGGTGCTCATCCCGTCGGGGGTCCGGGTGGACCGGGCCAACCGGGCTTCCCCGCGCCCGCTGCCCGGCCTCAGGGCAACAACACGCTGGTGGATGAACTGGAGGCTTCGTTCGAGGTGGGAGACTGTTGTGTGTTAGCTTCTGTTAGCTGCGTGTGCTAACTGTTGTTAGCCAGATAATCAGATTACCCAGTGTTGATGCAGGGCTAGGAAACATCTGAGCTTATTCCACATCTACTTATACTCACATAACGAGATGTTACGTGTTTGTAGCATTAATGCTAAGTTACTGTCACCACCAGGCTTTACCCCTTTTATTTTCAGCCATCAAAACATTGTAGCCCTCCTTAAACCCTGCTAGCATAAACACAACACGACTCTCACACAGGTTGTGGGTGGGTTGGTGGATGAATGTATGGATGGATAGATAAATACTTTATTGATCCTGAGGGAAATTTAGGATGATAACTGTCAGATGACGTTATTATTATTATTACATAGACAAATATAATATACCAACACAGCTGCCTCTGGTTTCTTACACTTTGCACAATAGAGTTCAGTGTTCAAGTTTCTTCAAGATGTTTCCCACTTCCACAGAAGTAAAGTCAACAAACATCTATTACTATTACTTTCTTTTCCAGCCTCCTCTCCCCTGTTTAAGGTCTGGGCCTCACTATGCAAAGTGCCATTAGATGATGAAGGTTATGAATTAGCGCTGTATGCAAAATACATCTGCTACAATTGATTTCTGTGAGTCAGAGCCACAGTCTGGATTTCTTTTTATCTAAAAGCGTGAACTGAATATTTTGGTGTTTATGACTCATCACAAGATTTGTACAAATTTCTTTTAAAAACATCTTGAACAATGGGTCACTGTCCCTCGTATAATGTTTGACTATTGACAATATGATCAATCAGTTATTTAAGAAATCAAACAGAAGATCAGTCATAATTGCCAGCTGCAGTGCTAGTGTAGAAGATCCTGGTCTGCCCAGAGCCCTGACCTTAACTAATGGAATGAACCAAATTGACGACTGATTGTTTGTGATTGATGCAGAACAAAAGACAAAAGGGCGAACAGCCAGACGAGGTCACAGTCACTGGTTCCTCACATGCAGTTGTGGAACTCTACATGTATGTAAACTGAGCCCATCAGTGCCCAGTATCACGTACACTCTTGTAGATTTCTTTGGTCCTGTTTTAAAATCTTGTGGAAAACCTTCTCCATTAGAGTGAGGTCTGTTATAGCAGCACATTAACATCTTGGATGCTTTAAGGATTTTTTAAGCCGGTTTTATTCAAGGGGGCAAAGATTCTCATGGCTAAACATCTTTTGACATCTGTCCTCAAATGTCAGTTAACTATAGGACTGTGCTCAGCGAGCAGGACTGAAAAAGGTACATTTACTACCGTTGCTCTCTGGGGTTTTTCTACAGGCATGTTTTGCATCTCTGGTGAGTCAGGACTACGTTAATGGAACAGACCAAGAGGAGATTCGAACTGGTGAGTGAAGCCCTGAAGGTTCTGTTTGTTATATAGGTTTACAATATACAAAAAATGATGTACACCCCTGCTCAGTTAATATATAT